CTCTCAAGATGCAATGTCAAAATTTTTAAGTTCAAGTTTCCCTCCCCACTTCATAGGCCAATTTTTACCCTATTATGTTTAACCATATTTAATTAAATCTTCTGCTCTTACCCTTCTTGTCCTTGTCGACTCCGTGCTGTTTTGTTCAGGCCCATTTGACCCGTTTCCGACCACAGGTTGTTTGCAGGGCTGGAAGGCCACCTCCCCTCCGCCGAGCCTGGCGGCCTCACCTCCCCCACCGCTAGATGGCGCCCCGCTGCTCCGCCGCGTCCGCCCCGCGGTCTCTGTTGCGCGTCCGAAGCAACACTGTCGGTTGAGAATACAAGGGAAGGAGAGGAGGGGGTGTTGAAAATCTCCCGAGTCCACATCGACAAATTCCAGCTTCAGGGTCCAGGGCAAGAGCCCTGCATTGTATACTTCGACGTTAGACCAAACGTCAATGAATGGGCGAGGGGCCTCCTCAACTCAGGAAGTCATGTGAGCCAATCATCTCCAACACCGCCATGGCGAAGAAAATGGGCAGTATTTGGGAATCTTCAGAAAAAATATACTAATATTATCGACGGGTGTCAATAAAGAATGTCAAACGTACTTGGCCAAGGAACAACCCACACTTCACTTCTCATAGACAATCAGATTCTCCAGGCAGAAAAATATGGTAATTCTAAAACTGCCTTTTCAGAATATGTCCCATCTGAAAAAGAGTGAAAGGCATTATATCGATAGATGCATGTGCGTCTTGTAGGCCAGCTTGTTCTCATGCGATTCAGATCTCAACGTCCGACCCGATGGAAATGGTAGCCCTGTAGCGGGGAAATGCAAACGCATATCTTACAAGGGAGCCAAGAAACTAAATATTTTGCCTGCTTTATTCCTTGGGTCTGGGCCGGGGCCGACAGCAGAGCTGTGCTAGCTGCTGGCATGGTGTACCAGGGGTGTTCCAGCTCCCCTCAGTCCCTTCTGCAAAGCACACATTATATACCCTTGCGCGCAGGCTAGCCCCCCTCCCCCCTTTTCTCCTCCCCAGGTCCCTGTGTGTCGGTACAGCTGTATGAATATTCAAGTAAAGCAAGCAGGGCCAGGCGAGGTAGGATGGGGTGGGGCAGGAGGGGCAGGCCGGGCGTGCTGAGCGAGTAGTTTTTGGCTGAGCGGAGCCGGGAGGCGCACTCTGACGCCGCGGCGGCCATCGATTTCAGGCGCTAACGAGATAACTGCGCCGTGGCGTGATCTGGTGAGGTTCCCACAGGAAATTGCGACGGGCCTTGCCTCACCGGAGCCCTCCACGCCCGCGCCGCCGCCGCGCGCCGCGCCTTCCGCCGCATGCCGTGATCGAGACCCGTAAATATACTTCAGCATAGAGCCCCACACGAGGCGGCAAAGGGATGCTCTGTACCGTGCCACGACCTGGACGCTACAGTCCAGCCCACAAATAGAGCCACCGGCAGACCATGGTCTCTGGATGTAGTGTTGTGGCGATGTACCTACTGCACACCTTTCCCTGTGGCTGAGAGGTGTAGGGGTTGAGGGGTAGAGAGACCAAGGGGGAGGAAGCATGAGCTCGCCCAGGCGAGGCCGAGCCTCCCCCTCCCCCCCTCTCCCCTCCGACCTCTCACCTCGGGCGTCGGGGCGCGTCAAGGCGCCCTGTTTAGCATCTCAGAGACGGAGCCCTCCAGCGCCATGGGAGGTATTGGAGGACAAAGGCGAAGGTAATCATTTGTTGGAGGCTGGAGGCTGAATTACGTTGCGCCCAGACTAACCTCTGCTCTGAAAGGGAAAAACAACCACCGGAACAAACTCTAAAGTCGTGTTAAGTTGACACACGAAAGCGTTCTGGAGCGTGTTGTATACTCGCTCATGACGGCCGTTAAGTGACGGTAGATAGACGAACATTTTTGAACGGGGTATACCTATTCACCCCTGTTCAGCCAACTAGGGCTCTTCAGGGTGAGACTAATCAGCCGCATGCGGTACAGGTTTAACTAAAAAAAGGCTGGCACCTGCCACAACCCCTCACCCCACCCCCTCCCCCTGCACGGAGAGGAAGCTATGGTAAATCCAACGGTAACTGCTATCACACAATGGCTGTCTATAAGTATTCTCTGTAGCTCCGAATTGTAACTTACATTCATAATTTCTTCTGGTTTCGATGGTGAGTAAATCACACCCAAAAGACCGTTTAGTCCAGAAAACCAAATTCAAACCTGATAAAATTCCAACTCTTCAAACCAAATTTTATTCGTGGAGGTAAAATAATTTCGTGAAGCTCAATCAGTTTGATTGGTGCAAACACATTTAGTTAAAAATGAGGTCACTAAATTTTAAATTGGTTTTCGAAAATAAATTTTTGACTCCTGCAGCCCTGATTTAGTCGTATCAACTCAATGGTTCTCTGGGTGCAAAATGCTGCGTTGTGCCTCAAATTTTGTTCTCGTCCAGCACGCAGCTACAAAAATGGATGGGGTGACCCCATGCTTCTTCAAAGCAAGTCGGCGAGGCCTAGAAGGTCGTCCCAGTCCCACTCGGTCCCCCGCGACCGCTGCCTGTGCCGGGTGCGGGAGGCGTGGCCGGGTCGAGTGCGCACAGGTGTCTTGCGCGTCGTGGACTGCACCGCCTTCACGGAGGTCCGAGAGGGAGCCACACTCTCCCTCCCGATGGCTTCACAAGGCTGCCAGGGCGTCCAGGAGGAGCTGCCGGCCGGGTCGCTGCGGGGCGGCCACGACTCCGTTTTGACAGGGCCACGCCGGCCACGCCGCCCTGGCACGCCGCTCGTCGTCGACGGCGTGGTCTTAGCCCACCGGGGCCACCGCAGCCTCAGCGCCGCGTTGCTTGTGGGCAGCGGCCGCCACTGCCCCGCACCCTCGAGGCCGCGCCCTTGGTCAGAGCCGGGCAGGGTCGGGCACCACCAGCGACTGAGTGTCACGGGTCGCATCACGGCGGGATTAAAAGAAAGAACAACCGAGTGCTGTGCTGTCGTGTTTAGTGGCGGCCGGCAGGGGGGGCGCTAGCGGTTACAGCAGTGGTCCGCGCATGCTCGAGTTATACACGACAATGGACGAGTGGGCGTTCCTCCGGCGCGCGTAGTACCTGGCCGTCTCCGGGGTGCCCTGGTTGCCGCCGGCCACCTTGATGCACTCGGCGGTGCTCAGGCTCGAGGCCATGGCCTGTGCCTCACGCACGTGCGCGCCGGTGACGGTGCAGTGGCGCGCGGTGCCGTCCACCAGCACGGCCAGCTGCGCGCTCACGGCGCCCACCTCGCCGCCCAGCAGCCCCAACTGCCCGCCGAGCGGCGCCACCTGAGTCGCCTTGCACATAGCGCCCTGCACAGAGATGACATTTTTCAAAACAAATTTTTAATTAAAAATTGATTTAAAAAAATAGATACGATCATTTAGAAACGCGGCCACCATTTAACTACTTTACTATTCCTGCTTTTAGCAAACCATTGACCTCACCATGAAACCCGTCTGCTCGTCGCACTGCTCCGCCTGCTGGTGCACGCGGTCCACATAGTCATTGATGTTGCCGGTGACCTGCGCTACGCTCTGCACGATGTCCGGGATGCCCTTGGGCACTCTATCGCGCACGCAGGCCAGCGCGTCTGCCTCCACCTCCTCCAGGAGGCGCTTCACAGTGGCCTCCTCGGGGCAGGTCGTCGCCGGCACGTCAGGGTTGAGCCACTGCGCGTACGACACCGACCAGCGCCACGAGCTGCCCAGGTCGGCGACGTACAGGCGCACCTTGTCCTGGGCCAGCGGCAGGCCGTTGGCCGCGGTCGCGTTGAGCTCCTGCAGCGTGCGCTTGAGGCTGTCCGCGCCGGCCGCCACCCCGGATACGATGCTGTCCGTGATGGAGGTGGTGGAGGCGAGGACGTGCGCCCAGGGACCCATCACCACCTGAGGGAGGCAGCGGCGGTCAGGGGGACACCGAGGGCATGCGTCTCGCTCTGCGCTCACTCACCTGCAGGGCGGCGGGGGCGGCCCACACGGCCAGCAGGAGAACGGGCAGGTTGCTCATTGTGTTTGTCTAGCAGGCCGTGGGCTGGGCCCCGTACTTATAGGCCGCGGGACGGCGCGCAGCTGGCGCGGGCCGCCACCTCAGCGCCAGCCTCGGCGCCAGCACCAGCATGGCGACGACTGGGTATCGCGCGCGGGTGTTCGAGGCCTCGAGAGTGCGAACGATAAGTGTACGTCGCAGCGGTCCCCGGGAGGGGACACGGAGTGGGGGCTGAGCGGGGGAGAGGGTTAGAGAGGGGGGAGGGCGCAAGCAGCCTATCGCCCAACATAACAGTCGTGACATGTTCGCTAAAACAAACACAACCGTTCTGTCACGACTGAAAATAAAGCAATGACACATTTGGCAAATTCGCCGAAGCGTGATCCCAGCGCAAGAGAATAATTGCATATGTGTTGTCTGATGCTAGGGTGCTGACGCATTTAAAACATGCAGTTTAAAATGATGTTATTAGAGTGTGGCAATGAGGCCTATCCTGCTAGTGAACGTCCTTAAACCGTTCGAAAAGTCAAGTCAAGAAAAACAAACTAAAATCCTATGAACTTTTTTGTTAATAGCTTACTGAAATCTGTAAACATGCTCCACTTATTACTATTTTTAAAAATACACCATTACGTTGCGCCCAGACTAACCTCTGCTCTGCAAGGGAAAAACAACCACCGGAACAAACTCTAAAGTCGTGTAAAGTTGACACACGAAAGCGTCTGGGGCGTGTTGTATACTCGCTGATGACGGCCGTTAAGTGACGGTAGACAGACGAACATTTGTGAACGGGGTATATCCATTTACCCCTGTTCAGCCAACTAGGGCTCTTCAGGGTGAGACTTATCAGCCGCATGCGGTACAGGTTTAACTAAAAAAGGGCTGGTACCTGCCACAACCCCAACGGTAACTGCTATCACACCCCGTACAGAAAAATTCG